TTATTTGGCAGATGACGTATCACTGCCAAATAACTCGAGTTATTTTGGCAGCACAATCATAATAAGCTGCCGGATAACTATTGTTATAAATAAGTATTGTATTTTTAAAATTATATACTATTTAAACTTTACAATATTAAAAACATTTTCTAATTTTTATCTTTAAATACATATAACAAGATTATTTTTAAATAATATTTTAAACTTTATTATCTTTACTTATTAGGTTATTAAAAAAATACAACAATAATAAAAAAAAAATTCATTTTAAATAATATTTTAAACTTTATTGATATTACCGATTTAGGAAAGTAGTCAATAGAAATCAAGCAAATCTACATTTGAAAAAAATTAATGCCTTAACTTATATACGTAACTCATATCTCGATGAATTTTAAAGCTATCTTGATGATTTTAATATTCAAAAGAAAGCTTAGATCATAAGCTTTCTTTTGAATATTAAATCATCAAGATTGCTTTAAAATTCATTGAGATATGAGTTACGTATATAAGTTAAGGCATTAATTTTTTTCAAATGTAGATTTGCTTGATTTCTTTTAACGGCTGCCCATTTGATTTTAATGTTTACATTTTGTTTCGTGCGTACTATATGTAACTTTTTTTATCAATATGTTATTTAATTATCATACACAAACATTAACATATGATAGTAAAATTTTATCCACAAAAATTAACGCCGGCTATTAATTGAAAAATAAATAAATACTATAGAATTAATGTTTTTTTTGTTGAAAATTTATTAAAAATGGCATCGAATAATTATGATCCGTTAGATGATACACTTAATACAATAATAACTGGATTGTTACTTCCTGTAATTATAGTTGGTTTGTTTAAAGCTTTTGAGCAAAAAAAAAAAAAGAATTATCTCTTATTAATATTTTTGATGATTTTATTGTTTTTGTGATTATCTTAATCTACCCTCTTGCTAATGTCTATCAAGGGTTTTTATACTTTAGTAGTTCTTTGCAAAAAACTGTAATAGTTGATAATGTAGCCATAATTATACTTTTAATTGTTCAATATTTGTCTTTTTACTATAATGCAATACAAGAAAGGTTTCCATTGTTAAAAAAAATAAGTGTTAACTCATTTATTAAAAGATTTTTTATTTCTTCTATTTGTACTCTTTGTCTTTATTTTGTTCTTGACTCCGTTCCTTTTTTTCCCTCTTTTATTAGTATTTATCTTATTTTTATTTTTTTATTCATCGCTCTTTTTAAAAAAATAAAAGGTGATTCACTTAAGAAGAGACTTTTTATTTCTTTCACTATTTGTTTGCCTTTTATATTATATTTTTTTGCTTTATTTTTTATTTTTATTTATTTTTTTTTACATGGGAAGGTGAGATAAATACCCACATATTTATTAAGAAAATTTCAATTAATGCACTTTTTCTTCTACTTGGTTCACTTATAATTCATTCTTATGATATTTTTATTAATAGTGATATTTATAGTGATGATAATAACTTTAGTTTACTTTTAAATAATACTTATGTTGGTGGATTTTGTGCTACAAATATTGATATTAACAAATGTCGTTACTTAAAGACGATAAATCTTTATATATATTTAGTTCTTATATGGCCATCAATTAGCATTTTATACTATGTAATAATTCTTTGCAAAAATATTTCTTCTAATAGTAGTCAAGATCAGATTTTTTATACATCTTATCATATCCCGATGAAGCTAATTAATAGTATTTTTATATTATTTCTGACTATTTATCCAGCAGTAGTATCAGGGTATTTACTTAGTACTAGTTCGCTTACTACAAAATTGGCTTTTGCAATCTGTAGCACAGCTGTTAGTAGAATAGTTGAACATTTAGGTGATAATGAACCTGAAAAAGTTGAAACTACTATTATTTCTTTTTATCTAAATTGGCATGGTGATATGAAACTAAAAAAGAAAATAGAAGGAATGAAAAAAAAGATAGAAGATCAAATAAAAGAAATAAAGTATATATCAGATCGAATAGATGATGAAGAAGAAGTCAAGCAAGTGGATAATATAAAAAAAGCATTGGAGAATCAAAAAGAAAGATTAGGAAATATGATAAAAAATTATAAAAAAAATGAAGCAGAAAATGAAATGAAAGATATAAATGATATATTAAATCATCAAATAACACGAATAGATAAGTTAACAGGTGAAATTAAAAATAAGTTAAAAATTGGAATAAGTGAAATAGTAGAAGAAATTGGGAAGCACTGGTTAAAGGAAGAGGAGGTGATGCAGGCAGAACTGCCTCAATAAACCGTACGGCATGCAGCAACTGCGGTTACGGTTACAGCAAAAACCATAAGAACTTCAAATGCCATATTCAACCTATTGCAGCAAATAAGACTTGGGTACCGATCAATTAAAATCTGATTCATTCGAACCTATTTCTGGATCTTGTAACTTATTGAATGAAGTAAAGGATACTTAATATGAAGTCTTTCAACCATTCGTCAAAGTATGGTATAAAGTAATTCACTCAACGAGTTATTGAGAAACCTTATTTATAATATTGAATTTAGTGGCTCGGATTTTTATTGAATAAACTAGCGAAAAACCCGTTGTAATGCATAGTTAATTAGCTGAAAATAAATAAATTTATTTATTCCCCAGTTCTTATTATACTTCTATAATATTTTTTAAAATTATATATTAAATGCAAAGCAGATTCACCCCATTTCTCTGATAATTACTTTACTGGCTTTTAACATTACAGCGCATTTGCGAAATTTAAGTATTAACCCGAAGTATAAAGCGTGTCATTTTATTTTTTTTATTATTTTCGACGTTCCTTATCGTAAAATAATATGAATAATGTCAAACCATTTTTCCAAAAAGTGGAATAGATGTTATTTATGCGATTTGTAATAATAAATATTTAAAATTATACAACACATTGTAATGCTAACCCTGGTGATGTTAAAAGTCCGGTTTAGTCCAACTCAAATTTAAAAGTCGATTTTCATCAAAGCTCGGTCTAAAGTCAAATTTGGAACATTTTCACATTATACATAATTAAAATACAACGTGCGTAAAATAAAATAGTTATGCAAAGTTCCACCAATCAATTGAACACTTGGGAGTCAGTTCTCTTGAGTCTAAAGGCGGTAAAAAAGTCCAGGCCAAAGAACCAACTCGATCTGGACTTCTAACATCTTAGGCTAGCCCTAAGTAAAAAATCAGGCTAAATTTAATTACCAGGAAAATAGTTTTCAGAGAAATGAGATCACTGACTTTGGTAACTTATCAATATATATGTTCATTTACTAAATCAATGAGGGTAATATGAATCTAAACTAGAGATACGCTTAAGTTGCATTTATGTATTTGTAAACGTGATAATGAGAAATAAAAACTTTAGTTTTAGTCTAAGGTATTCATTGGATTGTATATACATAATCACAAATTTTGAGATCTTTTCATATAATTGTTTGCCTTTATATTTCTAATCTTCAATTGTTATATCTGGATTATGTCTGATTTTTTATATTTAATTTGTTCTATTTTTATTATAATATTTGGGACATGCAGGACCAGTACGATCAGATGGACTCAGTGACAATTGGAAATTTTCGTAATCTTAATTCTGCACACTATTTTCCATTATTAGCCGATCAAATTTATCGAAAATCAATCGCGAAATTTTGTTTATACGGTTAGCCCGAAGAAGTTAAAAAATAAAGAAATTGCAAAATATGAAAAACAGTGGTCTAAACATGCCTTGGAGCATTAACAAAAAATGTCGGGAAGGCAATTTTACCTACAGTATATAGCCTTACCCTAACACTAAACTAACTCTAATAATTAAAAAACAAATCACATGGATACACGGCTTTAGCCATGGCACAAATAATAAAATCCTGGCGCAGCTTAGTTGTGACATTGCACTATACTTTCCATTATAAGTCCTCCATTATAAGTCCTCCATTGTAAGTCCTCCAATACACTCCGAACAACTCGCACTCGTTATAATGTAGTCATCGAGCTGAGAAAAAAAAACACACTATAGCTTATATCGAGAGAATACTATATGTACTTCGCTATATCGAATTGAAGTTTAATAATTCTGTAATTCAAAAATCATTATATCGAATCTTCACTATCCGGATTTCATTATAACGAGAGTGAGTTGTAAACCAAACAAGAGTTTTAATATCTTAATTTCACTAACAGTATTTAAAACGGTTTCATAGTATAATGCAAACAATCAAATGTGTCGTTGTTGGTGATTATGACGTTGGTAAAGTATGTAAAAAAAAAATATTACTATAGACTCATTTCTTATAATTGCTGTTTTAATTATTCATTTATTATCTTTTTATACTGTAGAAAGAACTCCTGATATCTTATACAACTAACGAATTTCCCAGTGAATATATTCCTACAGTAAGTTATTTTCAATGCAGAAATGGCTGCAAAAAAAATATCGATATCATCTCATCGAATATGAACGATTCACAGGTTTTTGACAATTATGCCGTTACTGTCATGATTGGTGATGATCCATATACTTTAGGTCTTTATGATACGACTGGTGAATATATACATATTTGCAAAAGTTCAAATATTGTTTTTTTTTTCTTGATAACATACTTTTTTAATTCTTTTTCTATGTCATATATTGTATGATAAAATGGTTAATAGGTCAAGAAGATTACGATCGCCTCCGTCCTCTCGCATATCCTCAAACAGATGTCTTTTTGTTCTGTTTTTCTGTAACTTCACCGGCTTCTTTTGAAAATGTCGAAGAAAGATGGTTTCCTGAGGTTTATAATTATTGTTCAGGAATTCCATGCCTGATTGTTGGTACTCGAATAGAGTTGCGAGATGATCCATTGGTGATTGAAAAGTTATCACGACAAGGGATGAAACCCGTAACTCCAGAGCAAGGCGAAAAACTCGTTCAAAAATTAGGAGCAATTAAGTATGTTGAGTGCTCAGCCTTTACTCAAAAAGGCATGAAAAATGTTTTTGACGAAGCAATAGTTGCTGCTCTTGAGCCGCCTGTTACGAATAAAAGGTCGTCCTTGCGTATAATGCTAAACAAAATAAAGTACGTAAATACTATGTAACTATGCTTTTTATATCTGATATCTAAATAATAAATGTATAAATGCACTTTTTTTTTTTGTTGATAATTATGTGCTTTAAAGCTCTCTAAAAAATGGAATTAAGAAAGGCCCGAATAGAAAAATAAATAAATTTGTCAAAAAATCACAACTTCAATGGATTCCCTTTGATGAGATAAAAAATTGGTAAAGGTGGTTTCAGTACTGTATATTCAGCAACTTATAAGAATCGAACCGTTGCGCTTAAAGAGTTTTCTGAGATCAACATTATTTTTGAATGAGGTATTTTTTTTACATCTCTCATGCTTGCATAGTCATCAAATGTCAAATTTAATTCGAAATTGCTATAATAATAGGTCGAAGCTAATGTTAAAGTTAATGTTAATGTAGAGATATATGGAATAACTTGTAGCATGCATACAGAAGAATATATGATGGTTTGTCGATACGCTGATAAAGGAGATCTCAAACACTATCTTTCTAAAAATTTTGGTAATCTGAATTGGGAATCAAAGTTAATAATTTTACATTCTATTATATTAGATTTAATAAGCATTCATAATGAGGGATATATCCATAGGGACCTTCATAGTGGTAATATACTTCTCTTCAGTGATGATGTAGGAGATATAGAAATTCATATTTCCGATTTAGGCTTATCTAAGAAAACTGACCGTTCAACTATATACGAAGAAATATATGGTGTAATACCATATACAGCACCTGAAGTATTATTAAATAAAAAGTATAAAAAGGAATCAGATATATACAGTTTGGGTGTAATCATGTCTGAGATGTCAACTGGCAGACCGCCATTTGATGATGAATCACATGATACGGAACTTATATTAAAAATTCTAAATGGATTAAGACCAAAATTTGCACAAGGAACTCAAATCGATGCATGGATGCTGATCCAAAAAAGAGACCAACTACTAGTGAAATTTGTAGGTATATATGTATTTGGTGGTTAAATCTTTGTAAGGATCCTGAAATTTTAGGCAAAAAAGAACTTGAAGTCAAGAATGAATTTTTAGCAGCAGATGAAATCATTCCAACCCTATCGTTTACGTCACAAAGCCATCCAAACGCTGTATATACAAGTAGGCTTATTGACACAACATCTATTCACACTACAGACACAGGTAAATTATAATATGATATATTTTTCCATTGCGATATTTTAAATATAATTTTACTATTTAAATATATTTGAAAGGTTTACGAGATTCTCTTCAAATTAAACTTACGATTCCTGGTGATTACAGCTGATTTTGGAATCGTGTTAGTACTCCAAAATTTTATAGAGCTTAATTTAGCGTTATGATTTTTGAAATCGTGGATTACACACCAGTGCGTGCAAGGACCAAAAGTTTATAGATGATATTAATGATCCAAATCGCTAGTTGAAAACTAGTTGACTAATCAATTTAAAATTTTCAAAACTATTTAATTAACTATTAACAACGGTTAGTTGCTAACCTAAACTAATCAATTAATCCACGTGACTAACGTAATCGATTAGTCGCACTATAGTTGACAACTAATCGATTGGTAAATTTTTACCAACTTGGAACACTAGACGATATCACACCTACTACAATATTATTTTCATACTATTATTTATCTATTATCATATTTATCAAGATTAGTACAAAGTTTAACTTGCAGTCTTCGAAAATGTATTTAGCAGAATTTCGACAACCCATTTAAGATCACGATCAAAATCCAGATCCCACAGTTCTGATTATATCAGATATGTGCAGAAATATTTACATCACCGAGTTATATTCCATTGTAAAGACGTGTCGACATATCTTACGATGGGATATAACTCAATGACGAAAATATTTCTGCACCTATAGTCCTGGCAATTTTATATAATTGTTTAGCGTTAGTACTGCACTAATACATAAAATCATTTGTGAAGTCATAAATAACAGTACGTGAATCATTTTTTAAAAAGCTTATATTGTTAGTGTTGCTATTAAGTGACAATAAATCTACTTTTGAGTTATATTTATTTCCTTAAATTAGGGCAGTACAACGACGAAGCCCACTATATTTTATAAAAAAATATTTGAAATAAGCATTTTTTCTTGTGGTGAATAATAAAGCTCGTCTTCATCCAAATGAATTATCCTTAAGGGAAAGGCATCATTTAATTTAAGATATAGTTGATTTTAAAACTACTAATTTTAAAACAATATAGATTCTAAATAAACTTGGTTGGGTACAAAGTTATTGAGAAATTGGGGTTTGCCACTGAAAAATCTGACAGCCGCTAATCAAAATTTTCAGGGACATTACATTTATTGGAAACGCGTCAAAAACATAATTTTTGATCATCAAAACTGCTCAGCTAATAGCTCTTACGTTACACAAGCCGAACCATTTGTAACCAAGCTATTTTTCAGCTGAGTCGATTGGAGCTAGCTGAATAAACTACGACTAAGCCGTGGCTAACTATCAATTAAAAAAGTTATATATGTGCAATGGTTTATTTATTACATAGCTATAGAGCAAGTATTTATTTACAGAAGTTACAGAGCAAATATCAAATATGTAACAAACTTTTAATGCCTAATAAATTTTGCTAGGCTTACGGCTCACATCACGCAAAGCCGAGCTGCTAGTTAGATGAGCTGTTAGTTAGCCAAGCAGTAAATTGATTGGCTTAGCCGATAAGCTTACGACTTAGCCGAGCCATTTCGCATCTCTAATCAAAACACATAGAAATAAAGTTTTCAAAGTATATTATTACTTTACTAAGCTTGTACTTAGTTCTATGAAACTTTATTAAATTGGATCAGAGTTAATCAGTGTTACTTTCTATATACATATCACTGATACTTAATGATGGGCTCCGTGCGGGATATATTTTATAATTCGGGCAGTGTCATAAATAACAGGGGAGAACGTCCCAAATATGGACAATGGTTACACGGATGTTGAGTGATTGTCACATGCAAATCAGCCAATTAAAATCGTTAATTTTAAAAAAAAAATCAAGCAAGAATTCGAA